TAAGTTTATATCAAATATACCCTCAAAATTTTAAAAACTTTCAAAATGGTCCTTGAAAGGACCATTTTTAATTCTTTTTTAAGTTCAATAGCAGCTTTGATATAAAATTGAAAGTTGAAGTACCAAATTAGTATTCTAACCTCAATGCAACAAAATGTCATATATGGAGTTATATCTATTTTCATATATTATACATTAATTATATTTACATCTCAAATGGATACATCCATCGAAATTGCACCGATCCTCCAACACAGTGGCGGAGCCAGGGAGTGCAAGGGGGGCGCTCGCCCCCCCTGAAATTTGAAAATCTTGCAAATTAGTATATGAAAAATTATCTAGCCTCCCCTGAACTTTGAAAATTTTAGTATTTTGCCCCCTGAAAAAAATTTCTGCCTTCGCCCCTGCTCCTACACAAGCCTCATATGGAAGGTGGATTGCTAGATGCTCCATACTGTCAAAGAATGAAGGTGGAACGATTCGCTCTAGCTTACAAATGATTTCTACTATCTTCTCCTGCCATATTGCCATGTCATTGACCTAAATCACCGAAGCACACAAGGCCCTAAAGAACTCACTAATCTCAACAAGTGGCTCCCAAACTTGTTTCGGTAATAAATCACAAAATGCAATTGGTATAAGGCTTTGCATGAAAATGTGACAGTCGTGACTTTTCATACCGAATAATCGTGCCTCTTATGTATTGACACACCAAGATATATTGGAGACAAATCCATCAGGGAATTTAAGTTCCTTCAATGTCACGCCCCAGAACCCAAATCCGAGGACGTGGCAAACGCCGTGCATTCGTGAGAAGGTCCCACAAATGCACAAGGCTCGGAACTTATCATACTGTACTCTGATACCACCAAAATCTGAAGATCAAATCTTTAAAATTCTCTCTCATATCGTAAAATCTCCAAATACAAGATCATGATTTGTTTCTAAAATTCATATCCAATTACAATATGGCTAGCCTTCTAACTCGTCACTTCCCGTGGTTTCCCCGTCCTTGGTTTCACTTCCTGAAATGGTGGACAAGAAAAAACTATGAGATAAACTCAGTAAGTAAATATGGATTGCCCTTAATTAAACTTATAGCATGCCACATGTGCAATCACGCAAAACGGATACAGTACGGGAACGAAATAGACGTCTCCTCTATAGGTCACGGCCAGTGTATAATCCCCACTAGCAGGGCCACTATTTGCTGGTGTATAACCCCCACTAGCTGGGTTGAACGAACCGGCTCTCTCACTAACATGTTGACATGTGCTAGCGTTTGTAACCTCCCCCACTAGCAAGGTCACGAATAACATGACCACATCGGAGACAAAATAGGCAAAAGTTAACAGGAAAATCACAATTCACAATCACTTTCAGATCATCAGGACAGTCACTTAAATTTCAAGTAGGCATGCTCAATTTAATGAAAAGCATAAAACATTTCACTTTAAATCAGTCATACTAGTGTAAAACGGGTTTAGTCCCGCCACCACTTCAAAAACAAATCAAAACATGCTTTTAAAACAGTACGGGCATTACCATAAATTACTTACCTCACTCGCACAAAACCGAGCACTCAATTCACGCACTAACTGACAGAACGATCGGGAACCTAATCAAAATATCCACAATTAATATCGGACTATCACAAATTCAAACTGAAATCATCATTAGGATCATTCCTAATCACAATGCTATTTCCATAAATCTCCACATAATCAAATATCTCCAAATCGTTCTTATATCACAAACTAATCATTTAAATCCCCGTTAATCGTTGACTCACGGGGTGTGAACAGTGCTCATGAACAGTAATCACGATGTGAACAGTGTTGTGAACAGTAACTACACTTCCAAAATTGGCCAAAAAACTAGCTAATCTCACGGGATTTCACTCCAAAAATCACAGCAGTCAATTAACACTCAATCACATAAATCCCACTTAAATTAATGCTTAAATCTCATCTTAAAGCTACCGAAATTATCCCCATTTTCTGCAGAATTTCGGACACACAAGGCAGCAAACAAAATGGACAAATTAAGCCTAAAAAGGTTGCCACATACCAGAATTTGCAAGCAAAAACCGGACTGCAGGTTAGGGAAGAGCCGACGGCATGGAAGAAGAAATCCTGCAGGGAACTCACGGGTTTTACCCGAAAATTAAAGGAGCCCAACTTAAATCAAAGCTAAAGAAGGGAGAATTCGAGCTATTTCTTACCAAAAAACCGAGCAATTCACCCCCACAAAGCAGGAGCAGCCGGCGGAAGGACAAAGCAGAGCAGGGCAGATCCGGCTTTTCCAGCAGGGGGGAAGATTTCTGGGTTCTAGGTGTGTTCTAGAGCAAGAAAGGAAGGAGAAATCCAAGCTTTCTCACTAGTTTTCCAAGCATGGCTGGGTTCCCCTTTTTTTTTTTCTTTCGAGTGGCTGCAGTGGGAAGAAAGGAGAAGAAGAGCAGAATCGGGCAAGGCTGGGAAGAAAAGAAAGAAAGAAAGAAGAGAAAAAGAAAAGAAGTCATCCTTATCCAAAATCTTTCCCTCTTTAAGTCCCTCAACTTTTGAAATATTCACATTAGGCCCCAAAACAATCTTTTCTCACAATCAAGTCCTTAACTTACACTTAAATATTCCCGAAAATTTAGGATATTACATTCAATCATTGACATATTGATTTTCTTTGATCCCTACTAAGAACATAAGTGGCCTTTGGCTTTTTACGCAAATTCACTCTTATTTTCAATATGTGCAGACTTTTCCTTTTACAATACAATTCTAGATCAAGTCTTGCATTTATGTTATCTTTTGTCATAGGGTCATCCATTACTATATGAAGGATATTGTCAAAAAAGTTTTTCTCACAGTGCATGACATCTAAATTGTGTCGAATCAAGTATGTGTGCCAATATGGTAATTCCCAAAAGATGCTCTTTTTAACCCAATTGTGCACTTCACCAAATCCGTGGATTTCCTGTTTCTGAGGTGGCTTAGCAAATAGTACATCAGACAACCAATGGATGCGACTATGCATCTCATCACCAGACAATCTCTTTGGCATTGTTCCATTCTTTGTACGACCCTTTATGAAGTCATTCTTGTTTCTTCTAAATAGATGCTTCGGTGGCAAAAACTATCGATGACAATCAAAAAATGATGTCTTCCGACCGTGTTCCAACCAAAAGGCCTTCGAATTTTCCATGCAATAGGGACAAGCTAATTTACTATGTGTGCTCCACCCATACAACATTCCATACCCAGGTAAGTCACTAATGGTCCACATAAGTGCAGCCCTCATCAGAAAGTATTGACGCCTAAAGCTGCCATAAGTTTGGACTCCATAATACCAAAGCTGCTTTAAATCATCGATTAGTGGTCGAAGCATTACATCAATATTCTTTCCAGGACTTTGGGGACCTTGGATAATCAATGAAAGGAATACATATTCTTGCTTCATGCACATTGTTGGAGGCAGGTTATAAACTGATACAAATACTGGCCAACAAGAGTATGGAAATGCAAAATGTCCAAAAGGAGTGAACCCATCAACGCACAAACCTAACCTAACATTCCTCGGTTCACTAGCAAACTCAGGGTGAGTGCTATCAAAATGCTTCCACGCCTTTCCACATGCAAGATGAAAAATTCTCTCATTTTCATTATGACAAGTTAAATGCCAGGTCATATGCTCGACAGTTTTCCTAAACATATACAATCTCTGAAGTCTAGGAATAATTGGAAGATACCACAAAGACTTTCTTGGTATAGGCTTAGCAGAATGCACATCACGCTACTTAAATCATGGCTCTTCACATACCGGGCACTGTAAATAACACTGACTTTCATATTCTCCATAATACAAAATGCGATTGTTCACACAAACATCATACTTTTTATACCCGAGACTACGACGCCTCAACATCTTCTTGGCACTATAATAATCTGTTGGCAATCTCCCTATCAACTTTTTTGAAGGCCATTAGACTACGCTTTAGCATATAGTCCCAATTAGTAACACTCATGATAAAAAGTGTTTTTTCACTCATGAGCTCACACACCCACTTTAAGACAGTGACACCATCATCACACCCTTCAAAAAGAGGTGTATCAGTTGCTCGCAAAAGATCAAAGAACTCTTTTGCATCTCCTCTTGACTCCTCAAATATCGATTCTGTACTAACACTATATGGATCACCAAAACTAGCATCAAATTGTGTTGCATCTTCTACCCCTGTGGCACTATTTTCATTATTAAAAAAATTTGGTCCCATGGCATCATGAAGCATGTCTTTGAGTTGATTGACACTTGGAACATTATTCATAGCAGCAGCAGTAGCGGCACTTGATGATTCACCCACTTGGGTGCAACACCATTTTCTATGAATAATTTCTCCGTGTCTTTTCCGAATAAAATACCCATCCATAAAGCCGTTTTTAATAAGATGATATTGCACTTTGCGTCGATGATGCCATTCTTTATTCCAACACTTACTACACGAACATCAAATTATATTCATTGCACAAAACATCGAGTCCGTTTGTGAGAATGCAAAATCTAAGAAAATCTCTACCCCAGCATTAAATTTATTGTTCCAATACCCCATTTCATCTTGACGACGATACATCCAACTCCGATCTTCTCCCATAATTAAGTAGTATGTGCCTTAAAAATTCAATAATATCTTAATATTATATAACAAGCACTAGAATCATAAATATCAATTTTGGTCCATCAACTTTATGATTTTACATAATTTTCATCCCTTAACTTTTTTTTTGCTCATATTGGTCCTTCAACTATAAATAATGTACATTTTTAGTTCTTCTGTCAGTTAAGTTTCTTTAGCACATTGATAAAAGGACTGAAAATGCAAAATACTCATAATTGAGGGACCAAAATGAGCAAAAAAAAGATGAGGGACAAAAATTATATAAAATCTTAAAATTGAGGAATCAAAATTGGCATTTATCCTTTTAAAATTACATATGCTACAATAATATATATAATTACATTTTTAACCAACTAAAAATCTACCTAATTTAATTCATCTTTATAATTAATTAAAAATTATGAAAGTTAATTTGTTATACATTAATTATTATCATTTAATTTTATAAAATATAAATACAATAAGTAAAAATGTTGATAAAAATTTTTAATTATTATATTTTCATTATTATAATTTAATTTCTTATTCCTTAATTATAATATAATAT